TATGAGCAGCCAACAGATACATGAAAAAATGCTCAGCCTCCCTAGTCATCAAAGAAATGCAAATTAAAACTACATTGAGACACCATCTATCTCCAGTCAGGATGGCTATCATCAATAACTCAAAAAACAACAGAGGGTGTGGCGAAAAGGGAACACTTCTACACTGTTGGTGGGAGTGTAAACTAATACAGCCTCTGTAGAAGACAGTGTGGTGATTCCTAAGAGATCTAAAAATTGACCTTCCAGCCGGGCTCGGTGGCTCAGCCTGTAATCCCGCACCTTTGGGAGGCTGAGGTGAGTGGATTGCCTGAGACTGTGGGTTCGAGACCCACCTGGGCAGCGAGACCTCATCTCTACAATAAATCAAAAAATCAGCCGGGCGTGGTAGCGCATGACTGTAATTCCGGCTACTCGGAAGGCTGAGGCGGAAGGATCGCCGGAGCCCAGCAGGTCGAGGCTGCGGTGGCCGGGAGCGGCCACTGCACTCCAGTCTGGGCAACAGAGTGAGACTCCAACTCAAAAATAAATAAAAAATAAATAAAAAATAAAAATGGACCTTCCATATGACCCCGCAATCCCCTTACTGGGAATACACCCGGAAGAACTCAAATCACTCTCTAAAAAAGATACTTGCACATGTATGTTTATTGCAGCATTGTTCACAGTAGCAAGAACATGGAACCAACTGTGCTGCCCATCAAGAGAGGAGTGGATTAAAAAAATGTGGTTCATATACACGATGGAATATTATGCAGCCATAAAGAAGAACAAAATCATGAACTTCACAGCAACCTGGATAGACTTAGAGTCTGTAATACTCTGATTTTTCACAGAAACAAAGAACTGAGTAATCACATGTTCTCACTCATAAACAGACCTTGAACAATTATTGTAATACTATAAGAAAAGGATTGGCAGTAGCAGGAAACTGCCGGGAGTTGGGGAAGGAAGCAGGATTGACAGTAGTGAGAATCTGCCTGGGGAAGTGGGGCACACCTCATCAACAAGGGTACCTGCATAATGAACATAACTCTGCATAATGAACATAACCCTGAATTGTACCCCATATCTTTAAAATCAAAAAATTAAAAGTTAAAAAAATGCAGTTTTGAAAAAAATTTAAAGCACATTAGTTTACTTCTGTAATAAAATAATACTGACATGTATGACTAATTCATGATTGAGTTTCTTATAATGCATCGATATCATTATTATTTTAGAGGGCACAAGAAATTTGACATTCTCTGGTCACGCTGAGAACATAATCTTGGAATTTACCTTTTCCATTAAATCCTTAATATGAAGCTCTTTTCTTAGGACTTCTTTCTTCTAAAAGTTGTTTCCTTTTGTCCCCACCCCATTCTGGTTAACTGAAATTTTATTGGTTGAAGTTGTGCTGTCATTTTGCTGTATCTTGTCAATCTCAGCTTACTCTGGTTTTGGCTCACATTATTTAAAAGTGCTAATTCATACATTTACTTAAATACTTTATTAAAGGCACTTAGCTAGGTATGTTCTCGTTATCAAATCATTATAATAATATAACATATAGTTATAAACTGAGATGCATGATTTGAAGCTAAGGGAAATGCGTCTTTGTGCAAAAGACATCTGACCTGGACTTAGGAAGTGACCTTTAAGTTGAGATCTGAAGGATGATTAGTAACTAGTTGGAGGATGGGGTACAGGTCATAATATAGTATTCAGGTCAGTGAAAATAGCTTATTCAAAGGAGCTGTAGCAGGAGGAAGTGCAGTGTGACTAAGACTTTAAAAAGTAGTGTGACTGGAGTTGTGAATCAAAGGGGAAACAAGACAATAGGGATGACAGGGACCTGATTTATTAATTATTTAAGAGCAATGGGAAACCCCTGAAGATTTTAAATTAGGAGGCCACTGGAGATGAATCAGATTTGTATCTGAAGAGAATCTTTGTTTAATGTTCATCTTTCTGGGTAGACTATAAGCTCCACAGGTAGAGGGACTAACTGTTGATCTCACCAAGTACAATACAAGTAGATAATCAATAAAAGTTGTGTCACCATTTAATAGCTCAGTGTCTGGCACACAGTAAGTGCTTAGTTGGTTATAGTTTTTATTGCTCAAGATTGGCCTTTGATGTGGGACAGTGACTGCTTTGGAGTTAAGAGTTTTCATGAGATAATTCATCCAACAACATTTATTGAAGTCCTGTGGTATGCTCAGAAGAATCAGCAGCTAAATTTATTAGAATTCATCACTGCTTCCCTCTTGCACCCCATCCAGGATGTACAGAGCACAGAGGTGATTAATTGTTAATAAATCAGAGCAGCTTAGGATGAGGTGATGGAGCAGATGCACCTGCCTTAAACTATTCAGTTTGCATGCTCACTTTGATGCCTGTTAAGATGGCTTTTATAAGCCCATTTCTTCTAGAGTTCTCAGGTAAAGTTACTTCGCAGAATTCCTTAGAAATGGTCTCAACTTTATTCTTCAATTGTGTTCATTTTTTAATAGACAATGGGATACCATGTCATGTTTCTCCCCAAAGACTAAAGATTGCTACTAAAAACATTTCTGTAAATTTGTAAAATGAGCTGGGCTCGGTGGCTCAGCCTGTAATCCCATGCCTTTGGGAGGCTGAGGTGAGTGGATTGCCTGAGCCCATGGGTTCGAGACCCGCCTGGGCTGGCGAGACCTCATCTCTACAATAAAATCAAAAAATTAGCCGGGCGTGGTAGTGCACACCTGTAATTCCGGCTACTCGGAAGGCTGAGGCGGAAGGATCGCCGGAGCTCAGCAGGTCAAGGCTGCGGTGGCCGGGAGCGGCTACTGCACTCCAGTCTGGGTGACAGAGTGAGACTCCAACTCAAAAAATAATAATAATAATAATTTGTAAAATGTTTTTTCTGAAAATTTGTATTTTCAATACTAAGACTTTAATATTTTACTTTTTCCAAGCATTTAATTTATACATTGTATATCTTCTCTTAAAATGTTTAGTATGTAGTTACATCACCAACATTCTGGCCAATTTTCCCCTTTTCTTTTTTGAGGAATAGCAACCAGCTCCGTCATAACACATACTTGATTTTGTGCCCATTAATAAAAAGTACCCTGTGTGGGTGGACAAATTACCAAAGGGTTCCCCAGCTTCTGACATATCCTGTGTCATGGTGCACTGCTTAGAGGGTAGTATCAACATCTTGTGCCTTCTGCTGGGTGTAAATTAGATATTACTCATAATCACACTGTAGATAAACCTTTATAAACAAAGCAACCAGTTTTTAAAAGTATAACGATTGGGCCAGGTGCAGTAGCTCATGCCTATAATCCCAGCACTTCAAGAGGCCAAGGCAGGAGGATCGATTGAGTTTGAGACCATCCTAGGCAACATAGCAAGACCTCATCTTTACAAAAAATCAAAAAGTTAGCTTGGTGTGGTGATGCGTACCTGTAGCCTACCTACTCCAGGGGCTAAGGCAGAAAGATCACCTGAGCCCAGGAGATTGAGGCTGTGGTGAGGTATGATCATGCCACTATATTCCGGACTGGGCAACAGAGTGAGACCCTGACTTAAAAAAAAAAGAAAGAAAGAAAGAAAGAAAAAGTAGAGCAATTGTTCATATACATAAATATTAAGTGCTACGAACTTCATCAGTTAAAACATTAATATTATATTTGACTTATTTTCAAAGTTTCCAATACTTGGTTTGTTAACATTATGTATATGGAGGTAGGTTGTTATAGTTTGGGGGGAAAACTTGTATTTTGTAAAATAAAGCTTTTTAGTATTTTTTAATATGCACAAATGTGGGCCTAGAAATATACACACATTTATACATACACATTTGCATACACATTTGCACATACTTAGTTCTTCATTATGGAAGTTATTTAACATTTACAAAAGTAAAGTTATGAGGCCCCTGAATCTGATATTCAGTTAAACTGTAGTCAATATATTGTTTTATCTGGTCCCCTCTCCCCTACCCCAGATTATTTTGAAGCAAATCTCAGACATAATGTTTTCAGTCTGTAAACTCTTCAGTATCTACTCTAGAAGATAAGGACTCTCTTAAAAATTTAGCTAATGTAAACATAGTACAATTATTACATTTAAAATTTTAAGATAATATCAATCATCTAGTCAGCATGTAGTTTTTCCTGATTATCATAAATAGCTCTTAAAGTTGGTTTGTTTGAATCAGAATCAAAACAAGCCTATACAATATAGTTGGTCAGCTTTTCTCTTGAATACTTTTTAATAAATTTTTAGTTTTTTGAGTTTGGGTCTCTGTCACCTAGGCTGGAGTGCATGGCATAATCACAGCTAACTGCAGCCTTGACCTTCTGGGTTCAAGGGACCCTTCCACCTCAATCTCTCGAGTATCTGGGACTACAGGAATGCAGTAAAAAATTTTCTGATTTTTTTGTAGAGACAAGATCTCATTATGTTGCCTAGGCTGGTCTCAAACTCCTGGGCTCAAGCAGTCCTCCTGACCTTGACCTCCCAAAGTGCTGGGATTGCAGGCATGAGCCCTTCATCAAGCCTTGAGTTGCTTTTTATAGATAGTTTTCCCTTTGTTTCTTGTATTTTATTTGTTGAAGTAAGGGTTATTTTCCTACTTTCTGGATTTTGTTGACTATATTTTTGTGGACTCATTTTACATGTCCAAGAATATTTTAAATTTATGTTTAAATATGTGGTACTTAATCTCCTTTGACTGTAAATGAATTTTTGCTTAAGTGGAAAAATGAATACTTAACTTAGTTATTGAAGAATTAAGGATTTCAAAGATTATATGAACATGAAAAGGAAGATCTGAAGGATTGGCCGGGAGCCTCAAGACGTTGAATAATTTTGTAATGCTTCATGTGTATAGCTTTGCTATTATTTTGATAACATAATTTAAAATATTATAAAACATTGGAATATTAAGTTATAGCAACAGTAGCTATATGAGGTTGATTTTGATTAAAGTAACATTTTTTGTTAACTTTTTTTTATTTACAAAAAAGATACCAAGTGATCAGCACCCCAACAGATTTTTTTATGGTAATGGAATATGTGTCTGGCGGTGAATTATTTGACTACATCTGTAAGCATGGACGGGTGAGTAACATACTTCTGGTACACTAAGTCACTAAGCTAAAAAAGAGGAAAGTATTGGGAAATAGCAAACGGGAAATATATCTTCAAAGTTGGAATTGCTTCTGCAATAATGTCCAATCAAACATACAGAGCATTAGACAAATTTTTTCTTAAAAAGTATGTCTTTTGAAATATAGATTTTTATGAAACATATTCCACTTAACTGGCAAGATGATGCCTATGCTTTTCAAATCTGTTCTGTAAAATCATGTTGAAGATTCAGTTATTTCCCTTTCTTAGCTCTTTCACATTAGTCTGTTTTCATTTGTTTTACTGTTTATTCCCCAAAACATTGTGCACATTTAATAATATTAATTGAAATTTAAATATTACTGCCTAACAGCAAAGAAAAAGCTTTGATATGTTGGGCTCTGACAAGTTTTTCATTGGTTTGTTTTGTTTAGAATTCCAACACAATTCTAACTTAACTTGCTTAGTTATATGTAGGGTGATTAGGAAACGAAAACTCTTGCTAAGTAGAAGTCCCAGGTATTCTTAATGCAGTCCATTTTGTACCTGACAGGTTGAAGAGATAGAAGCCAGACGGCTCTTTCAGCAGATTCTGTCTGCTGTGGATTACTGCCATAGGCATATGGTTGTTCATCGAGACCTGAAACCGGAGAATGTCCTGTTGGATGCACACATGAATGCCAAGATCGCTGATTTTGGTATGTAACTTCAGAGTCATTCAGAAATATACTAGTTGCTTTTTAAAGCATGTCTCTAACAACTCTTACAGAACTAAGAACTTTCCATTTCAGTCTTGTAAACCCTGAACCATGAAAAGGGATTAGTTGAAGTCTCCTCGATAACTTGTTCGGTTCATTGAAATACATTTTTAAAATGCAGATACTTCTAGAGATGCTAGAAGGCTATCATCAAGATAAGTCCTTTCAATCTGAAGGGTGGGGAGGAGTCCCAGACTCCTTTGAAAATTTGATGCAAGTATGGGCACTTCAACTGATGTATACACATAAACAGAGGTACATGAAAATTTGCATGGGGTTTTGAAAAAAGCTTTATAATCCTGGATTGGATTCTTAAGTGGATCTTAAGGTTAACATCTAACAACGGTATTAGAGAACTGGGAGTTTTTGTCAAGAGTATAAGGAAAGTAAAATTTGAATTTTATACTTCAAACACTTTCTGACCTGGAAAGGATGCTATAGCTGGGTGCAACAGTAAAACAAGTGAAAAAAAGATTAGGAAATGAGAGATTAAAGAGAGAGAGACAGAAAGTTGCCAAAGTTCAGTGTTGTCTATTTAAAATTTTTCCTGTATTTGTCTTTAATCTCAAAACGAGGAAACTAGTTTCTCTATTTCTTTTCCATCTCCAAATTATTAAACTCATTAATTACTATAGCTGAGCCAGATTTTTCATTCAATAGATTATTTTTGTGTGTATTTAATAGTTTTCCCAATTAAAAACGTTAGAATATAATCTTTTTATGAACTGGGCCTGTCTGGATTCTAATCGCAGAATTTTAAAAAAGGCTCTTGAAAGCATAGAATACAAAAGTAATAGCCTCTATTTTATTTCTTTAACTATAAAAGTAGGTTAATAATATTTTGATGCTTTTTATGTTAAGAAAAGTCAGTATACTTTAGAATAACCTCATTTGTGAAGTGAATCAACATTTTTATTTAGAAAGGAAATTTAATTCCAATCATAAATGATAAACTTTAGCTTTTTTTGTCATAGTATAAGCATTCCGAAAGTCTCCTTCCAGTCTAACAAAGGCTTTCCACTGCTTTTTTTAATTATTAAAAAAATGATGCGTGTAAAGACTTGGCATTTTACTCATGTATCTATCTACACCTACTATTTAAAAAAATACCTAACATCAGATAAACACTACTTTTATTTTCAGGATTATCTAATATGATGTCAGACGGTGAATTTCTGCGAACTAGTTGTGGCTCTCCAAATTATGCAGCACCAGAAGTCATCTCAGGCAGGTAATCATGTATCTGTGAAGAGTAAGCTTTTATAATCTTGCGTTCATTCTGATAATGTTTAATTATAATATATTCCCTTTGGAAGGTCATATTTTTTAACATGGTGGAAACAGATTATTTGCTTACTTTTCAGTTTTTGAAGGGAAATGGTTATACTAAAACATTTTAAACGTTTCATTTAGATGTCATCATAAATGTACTTAAGAAGATTTTCTCATTTAAAAAAACTGAAATAGATTTTGATTTAGCATATCTCTTTGATTTTAGAAAAATATAGATAATAGAGTAAGCATTTGTTAAATTTAAACTAGTGTCATTATTTACTTGACACAGTTCTTTAATAATACTTTACATATTTTATAAAGTATATAGAGAAAAATTTTATATTTTATCTTTGGAAGAGTAAGATTTTGGGGGGATAATACTGTTATTTCATGAACTTAAGCTATACAAGTTGAGATTGTTTAATGACTCATGAACTTATTCATTGGTACATTACAAAAATGTTTATACAGATTACAGTGGTAAACTCAAGTCTTTCTATAGGGATCAACGTGTGATTTAAAAAATTAACATAATTCTACAAAAGTAGAAAAGACTGTTGGAAATAGAAGATATAGGAGTATTTTAGTTTATTTGGGCTGCTGTAAGAAAAATACCATAAACTGGGTGGCTTATAAACAACATAAATTTATTTCTCACAGTTCTGGAGGCTGGGAAATCCAAGATCAAGGTACCGACAGATTTGGTGACTGGTGAGGGCCAACTTCCTCATAGACTACTGTATTCTCACTGTAACCTTACATGGTGGGAGGGACAAGTATTCTTTCTGGGGTCTCTTGTATATCACATTCATAAGTTCTCTGCTGTCATGACCTAATCTCCTCCCAGAGTTCCCATAAACCATCACTTTGGGAGTTAGGATTTCAACATATGACTTTTGGGGGTACATAAACATTCATTTCATTGCAAGGAGTTTGAACAATACAGCAGATCATATAAATGGTGGACAGCAGTTTTTATAGAAATAGATTATATTCTTTTCATTGGAATTGTAGAGCTTTACTTTGTTTCCTCAGACCTAGGTTTGAATGTGCTATCAGGAGAATTTTAATATATAGAAAGATGAGAGAAAAAAGGAGTAACACTCTAGGCATAGGTTATCTAGATCAAAACTAATCATAGTCCTGTGATGTAGGAAGTGAATAGAAATGCAAGTGATAGGTATTCAGGATGACATAATACAGAGTAACTACTGTCTACACAGTGCTAGTTAGGTACTTTAATATTTCAGCTATTCTTTAAAATAGGTTTTCCAAGAACAAAAATTCTATTATATGTACATTTCCTTTCTTGTAATAGTTCTATGGGAAAAATATTTAGTCTATATACTGTAGTATTGTTTTTCAAGTTTATGGTTATCTGCTTTAATGGTTCCCTCAAAAATCAACCATTTAAAAAATGTAAATGTTAAACGATTTTGTGATGCACAAAAATACCCTATTAATTTGGCAAACTTGAATAGTAATTGGTTAGACCAGTTATTCTCTTTGGGGGAACAACTGTTGAGTATTCAAACCATGGACTTCATTAAAGACCTTGGAAATCATTACATACTGAATCTACACTACATATACATAGAAGCAGTATATATCTATATTTGTATGTACATGAGAACAAGTGATACTTGTATTTCAAATCTGTGTTGTCATCTTTTTTGTCAGATTGTACGCGGGCCCTGAAGTTGATATCTGGAGCTGTGGTGTTATCTTGTATGCGCTCCTGTGTGGTACCCTCCCATTTGATGATGAGCATGTGCCTACATTATTTAAGAAGATCCGAGGGGGTGTTTTTTATATTCCAGAATATCTCAATCGTTCTGTTGCCACTCTCCTGATGCACATGCTACAGGTTGACCCACTGAAACGAGCAACTATCAAAGACATAAGGTGATTATTCTTTTTGTTCCTATTATACATATTTTCTCATAGCAATAGTCATAATGTTAACTGAATGCTTTTCCTGAAGTTTTGTTTCCTGTCCTCACTGCCTCACCCTTCTACCAGTGCTTCAGCCACATTGAACTTGTTCTTGTTCCTCAAACGTAGATTTTATGCCTTCATGTCTGTTTATATTTTTATCTTCTTTTCTTTGCTTGATACATTTTCTGATTCTTTGACCTGACAGACTTCCATTCATCCTTTAAAGTTCTGCTCTCATGCCACCTCCCTTGTGAAATCTTTTCTGATTTCCCCAGGCAATGTTGAGTCTTTCCACTTCTGTTGTGTCAACATTTTGTTCATGCTCTTATTATTCCATTTTCATCCTGTATCCGGTTATTTCTTGGTGTGCTTTTCTCTCCCTTTAATTATGACTTTGTCAAGGTAGAGAGTGTGTCTTACTCATCTTTGTACATACAAAGGCCTGGGAATATAGTATATGTCCAGAAAATATCCGAGGAAAACAGGGTAAGATTTATCTATTTTATATATGGTTGATGACAGGCAGCATAAAAAGTTAAGCTAAATTTTTGAATTCAATAGCTGTGAGTGGTTTGTGAAGGATCACTTGTCATGTTAGAAACTTGGGAAAGTGCCCTTGCTGATGCTTCTGTTAGTATGAACTTTATATAGCACACACGAAGCAAGATGAGTCATTGCCTTCTACTTATTACCTATCGAGTCATGTTTCTGAAAGGTTTTTTTGTTCCTACTCAAGATTTCATCTGTGTTTGTTTACAAACTCATTCTTTTTGACATCTTCCCAGAGTCCTCTTTCTTTTTATAAGCTAGGATGACTATTTTGAGACCCCTGACCCTTGGACTATTCAAAATGGTGGCTAAGTTGCCTATTTTGGTGACTGCTGCTGATCTCTTGGACGCAAGAATGATGATTGCTTTTGGATTTATGTATCCCTTTCTTTCCCCAGTCATTCTTTGGTGTTCCAGGCCTCGTGCATAAAAATGGAAAAATGTAAATCAGCCACCAGATTTAATTATAGAAATGAACTTAGCAGGGGGAAAAAAAACCTCCTTTTTTCTTCATAGTTCTTTAGCATAAATAGTTCTCTTAATTGGCTTTTCCTTGGAAAGAAAATTAGACAAGCTGATATACTTGCATTTACTTGTATCAGCATATAAATTTAAAATGTAACAGCATTGATGTTATTTTAAAACAGATGTTTGTATATTTACAGGCTTTAGAAGAAAATTGTAAATAAGTCTACTAGGAAGAGTTTAATTTGCACATAGGTAGATAGTATAAAAGAGTATCATTCTCTCTGTAAATAATGTAATAACTTGAATCTGTATATTCAGTTTTTAATGTTTGAGAATTACTGACTTGATGAAATATGGTTCAACAGGGAAAAGAATTATTTCTTATTGAAAAATTACTGTATACAAAACATTTTGCTATAGGCTTGACCTATTTTATTGCATTTATTTCTAATAGGTAGCTATTATTCTCATTTTACAAGCCATGAAATTGAAGCTTAGAAAGGTTATGTCATGATTTGTTTATGTATCTGTTTGCCCTTTTAAATGATAAGTTCATTTAAATTAGGGTCTAAGTATTTAGCAAAATCACAAGGGTAGCACGTAGTAAATGTTGAGTAAATCTGTTTTCCTTGAAAATTACATAACTAAAAGAGACAGAACAGGGGCTTAACTAAGAACTTGCCTGAATTCAAAACTGAGGCTATTTCTACTGTTCCAAATTGTTGTGTCAATTCCATGTCCTTCCTCCAATCTATCATAGTATTTTATTTATGCTACTACATACTGTCCTAATACTATTTTTGTACACATTCTTCTCTATATTTTTTTTTTTGAGTTGGAGTCTCACTGTGTCGCCCATGCTGGAGTTCAGTGGCACGCTCACGGCCACCTCAGCCTCTACTTGCTGGGCTCAGACGATCCTTCTGCCTCAGCCTTCCAAGCAGCTGGAACTACAGGCGCATGCTACCATGCCCAGCTACATGTTATTTTTTATAAGATAGGAAGCCATTGGAGGTTAGAAAATCTGTCTTCATGTTTGAATATTTAATAATTTTTGCTTTATTCATTCAGCAAACATTTATGCAGCCTCTGCTCTCTGCAGGGTCCTATGCTCGGTGCTGGGAATATAGTGATAAAGAAGACAGACATTGTCTGTATGGAAAGCACATCTTTTTGTTCCCCCAGGTGTTTTAAGATTAGTTATACTATTAATATTGTGGCTAAAAGGGAGCGGTCTCAAGTTCAAGTGAGTACGAATCCCAGCTCACCTCCTGCTATATGACTTGATTGGGTTCTTGGCCTGAGGGATGGGGACCCCTGATTTATTAGACATTTGAGTTGTTTCCACTTTTTGGCTCTTATGAATAATGGTGCTATGAATATTCACATACATAATTTGTATGTTCATATGTTTTCATTTCTCTAAGAGTTTATAATTGTATGTTGTTGTTGCTATTCCTGTTTGTTTAGTGATTCTTTTTAGTGATTTTTTTTTTTTTTGAGTTGGAGTCTCATTCTGTCACCCAGACTGGAGCACAGTGGCACTCTCACAGCCACTGCAGCCTCAACCTGGTGGGCTCAGGTGATCCTTCCACCTCAGCCTGCCAAATAGCTGAAACTACAGGTGTGCACCATCACACCTGGCTAATGCTTTGATTTATTGTAGAGACAAGGTCTTGCCAAGTTGCCCAGGTCGGTCCGTGAACACCTGGGCTCAGGCAGTCCTCTCGCTTCCGCCTCCCAAAGTGCTGGGATTGCAGGCGTGAGCCAGCAAATCCAGCTATGTTTGGTGATTTTGCTGAACTAATTGAATAAAGTCTGTATTCTTTGTTACAGCCTACTGAAATCTCTCATTGGTTAGTTTAATGGTCAGCTAATGATTAGACAGAGATTTCCTTAGATACCTTGATCTAATAAGTCTCTCATCCTTTATTGATGGGTTCAGTGTGCGTGTTGAGGTATAACTTCAGTGTTCCTACAGGCAGTTTATAACTTTGCCTTAGCCTTTACTTCTTGCTTGTGCAGAGCCTCAAACTCTCTGCCAGTGATGAGAAATTTGGGTCTTTTCAGTTGTTTCTTGGGGTATACACGCAGTCCTGCATATGTTCCTGGCCCAGAAATGTATATTAGAGCTTTTTAAAGTCCCCTTTGAAAATCTTATTTCCTGATTTTTCCTTTTAAGTTTTTGGTCAACTTCTTGTTTACCCACCTCTTATTGCCACTTCAGACAGCTGGGATGTTAGACAGTTGCCATTCTTTTTTTTTTTAAACATATGCCCTGGGGAAAAGGCTGTTTGTAGTGAGTAAGCACTGACTGAGTCAGGTCAAATAAAAGCAAGGCATGTGAGTGAAGTTTTCCATGCTAAACATGTCAAATAATGACAGTTATTTTGGGATAGGACTTTTGGGTGCTCCAAACCTATTTTGCTCCTCTCTTCCTTCCACCCCCACACCTCAGTGGTTGTTATGCTGTTGGTCTTCTCAGCTCTATGATTATGAGACTGTTGGTCTTCAAGTCTACCATGGAGCTGGAAAAAGGAAGATGGGTATAGGGCAACTTAGAAAGCTACAAATCTTGCTTTTCTAGCTGAGATTCAGTCATTTTTCTTGAATGAACACTTCTCAGATTATTGCAATCCTTTGGTTAATTTCCAGAGTTCTGAAGAAGTTGATTTTGACAATTTTTGTTAGTCTTTTATTGTTTTATGGGAGGGTAGATTTTTGAGTTGTTTAGAAAGTGCTTAACTTCACTGTTTGACTTCCTCCCTCCCTTCCTCCCTTTCTTTTTCAAGTTGGAGTCTCACTCTGTCACCCAGGCTGGAGTACAGTGGCATACTCACTCATGGCCACCGTAACCTTGACCTGCTGGGCTCAGGCAATCCTTCCACCTCAGCCTTCCAAGTAGTTGGAACCACAGGCGTGTGCCACCATACCCAGCTAATTTCTTGATTTATTGTAGAGATGAAGTCTCACCAAGTTGTCCAGGCTAGTCTTAAACCCCTGGGCTCAGGAAATCCTCTCCCTTTGGCCTTCCTTTGGCTTACAGGCGTGAGCCACCGCACCTGGCTGTCATTGATGTTTTAAAAAGGTTAGACATGTAACATAATTTTTTTGTCTTCTGTTACTTCTTTTTATTTAAAAAGAAAAAAAATATATCAATTGTTTTTATTTCTAAACATTAATAGATGCTTAACATTATGATATAGCAAATACACATATTAAGGAGTTTATTTTTGTCTTTACATTCATATGTCTATTCATCATGTATTTATTCAACATTTATTGGGCATTTACTCTGTATTGGGTAGTAGGATAGGGCTAAATAAAGTATGGTCCCTGTTTCACAAAGCTCCCAATTTAGTGAACAAGCGTAAGAAATAAAATCAACAACTATAAGAATGTGTTATGACAGAAAGACCTACCAGCAGGCCTGGAAGTTTTATCTTTGTATATATATCCTCAGGGCCTGGCACACCATCATTTCTCTCTTGGACTATTGCAAGTAGCATCATCATCATCTTTTTTATCTTTTCAATTCAATTTCTATACCACAAGCAAAATGATCTTTACAGAATGTAAATTTGATTATGTTACCCTGTCTCTTTAAAATTCTTCAATAATTTTCATCAAGAATTTGTATAGTCTACAGTTCTCAGAAACATCTGCTTTCATTTGCCATGCCATCTCATAACTCATTATGCTTTCATGATATTGGGTCACTTCTGTTCCTAGAGCATGGCAAAACTTTCTTGTCTCAGGGTCTTTGCACATATTGTTTCTTTGCTGGGAATACCTGTTCCTCAACTCTGCTTAGCTGACTTCTGATCCTTCTGGTATTTGCGTAAATATTACTCAGTGGCTTCCCTAATCACTTGCCTCTCATTTTAAATTATATACTCTCATTTTACTCTGTGCTTTTCCATTCACAATCTTTATCATAGGATTTGCATATTTGTAGTTATATTTATTTTTATGTGTCATTGTTTAATCTATATTCAGCTAGAATATAACCTCTGTGAATATAACCTCTGTGAATACAGACTTTATTTAATTAGTTATTTAATTAGTTCTGCAAAATCACCAAACATAGCCGAATGCAGTGGCTCACGCCTGCAATCCCAGCACTTTGGGAGGCGGAAGCGAGAGGATTGCCTGAGCCCAGGTGTTTGCGACTGGCCTGGGCAACTTGGCAAGACCTTGTCTCTACAATAAATAAAAGCATTAGCCACCCCACTAGACACTCTGTGTTTTTTTGCCCAGAGTATGTCCTCAGTAAATATTTATAACAGAATTCATCAGCGAATAAAAGACATTCAGTCAAAATATATCTCAATCAGAATTTGGCTTAAGGGGTGCCCAGTTCTACCAGATAGTGATGCTTAAATAATTTTGAAGGAGTAGTTTGTGTTAGATGAAAAGGGATGTGATATTCTAGGATAGCAATAGCAACATCAGGTGCAAAGGCCCAGAAGTGAGAAAATAAGATTTAGGAGAGCAATTCTCAAACTTTGGTTTTGGTATTTTGTAACTCTTAAAAAACTACTAAGGACCTTAAAGGTTATTTTTAAAATGTAGATTTTTACCTACCAATATGTATCATATTAGAATTAAAACTGAGAAAAAAATATTTAATTCACTTAAAATAGCAATAAATTCATTACATGTTAATTTAAATAATACATTTTTTCATGAAAAATAACCATATTTTCCAAAACAAAAAAATTGTGAGAAGAGTAGCATTATTTTACATTTTTACAAATTTCCTTAATGTTTGGCTTAATCAGAAACAGCTAAGTGCACACTACTTTCAATCTGTTGCAATATTTTGTATTAGTTGAAGTATATGAAAAAAATTTGACCTCGCTCAGGTAAGTGGTTGGAAAAGAAAGGAGTATTTTAATAGCCTTTCAGATAATTGTGATATTTTTCTTTGATATTAAGCCAAAGCATAACATGTTAGTTGTAATATCAAATCAGAAAACATATCAATGATTATTTTTTAGTTTATTATAAGATAGCCCATCTTGCATTTTGAGTGAGTGTTTTATGCATGCATGTTTCTCTAACACCATGTACTGGTCATTTAGAAAATGCTGGGTTATTAGACTTTGCAGATTTTCCAAACAGCGACATATTTACTATATCCTGTCAAAAATTATGCTTATTATTTTCAACACTACATCAGAAAGTCTAAGTATTTGGAAGCTGTCAAACCCATGGAGGTAGATACAAATTATACATAATTTTGAATTTTTGCTTAAAAGCTGGAATTCTATGATTAGCAACAAATATTGCTAGTTGTTTTCTTTGAAGCAGTGGGCTCACTGTGTTCATTTTTGAGAAAATGTCAGCCAAATACGCAAGTCTTAATAACCATCATTATTCAAGGGTAGGGGTTTATTAACTTACTCAGAATCATATAGCTGGTAAGTGGCAGAGACAGGACTCTAGAGACCAGGTTTTTCTGATTCTGTCACCTTGTACTGCACCATGTCTAAAGTATTGGGAATTGCCAAAGCATGTTCTTACACTAGTGTATTGTGGTGTTTTTCCTAGAGAGCATGAATGGTTTAAACAAGATTTGCCCACTTACTTATTTCCTGAAGACCCCTCCTATGATGCTAACGTCATTGATGATGAGGCTGTGAAAGAAGTGTGTGAAAAATTTGAGTGTACAGAATCAGAAGTAATGAACAGTTTATATAGTGGTGACCCTCAAGACCAGCTTGCAGTGGCTTATCATCTTATCATTGACAATCGGAGAATAATGAACCAAGCCAGTGAGTTCTACCTTGCCTCTAGTCCTCCATCTGGTTCCTTTATGGATGATAGTGCCATGCATATCCCCCCAGGCCTGAAACCTCATCCAGAAAGGATGCCACCTCTTATAGCAGACAGCCCAAAAGCAAGATGTCCATTGGATGCACTGAATACCACTAAGCCCAAATCTTTAGCTGTGAAAAAAGCCAAGTGGCATCTTGGAATCCGAAGTCAGAGTAAACCCTATGACATCATGGCTGAAGTTTACCGAGCAATGAAGCAGCTGGATTTTGAATGGAAGGTAAGAAACTGCAGTGTCTTTCAGATCATCTGTAGGTACCATTTTGTTGTACACTAAGCTGCTCTGAGCTTCCGAGTTGAGTATTAAGGTCAGTAAAAAGCTGTTTTGATTCTAGCGTGCATTTCACCTTTAGCTCATCTCAATCTTACTAGCTGCATTTCAAGTGCTCTGCAGTAGCCTGCTGTAGCTAGTGGCTGTTGTATTGGACAGCACAGGTCTCTACTGTTCTGTAGCTGGAGGCCCACATTGTAGAAGAGCATAAAGAAGGCTCAAGAAAATATCCTCTGTCTGTCTCTTGATGAAGAAGACACTTCTAGTAAGAGGTCATAGGCTTCTATGGACAACCAGTTGAAAAATGTCAATGTGAGTTTTTGTGTGTTTCATATATATATATATATATATATATATATACATATACATATATATATTTTTTTAAAAATTTTGAAGATCTGGGATACAATTCAAAGTTAGGTACACAAACACTGATTATGCAGATACCCTTGTTGATGAGGTGTGCCCCTTCCTCCCCTAGCAGTTTCCCTCAACTGCCAATCTCACCCCTTTTGTGTTTTTAAAAGTAATATTTGTACACAAGAAAGGCTATTTGGCTTGGTGTTGATATAAGTATACAATTTATTAAATTTAGAGACTAAAAATCTTAGTTTTTAAAAAATTTTTTATTTCAAACTAAAGTTGTTTTGTTTTAGACATAAATTTAATGATCTTGATACTTTTGGCTGATAAACCCTGTTCTTTTCAATAATATTAATATACCATGCACATTCAAAACAAAACAAATAGACTTGATAAGATGAAGAACTATTGATCTGGCAACCTATATTTCTGGAATTACAGAGTAGCATTCTTGGTCAAGAAACAAAAAGTGATCAACTTGAAATATTGTGGGGGGGCATTTTTTCACTTCAGGTATCTCTTTCACTCTTGCTTTTTTTCTTGAAGACTATGATGAATATTTTTTAAAGGAAGAAGAAAAACATCCAAACTTACCATGTAGATATTCATTTGACTTGTTTGAATAAATCATTTTCATTATTTGTATATGAAATTGATAAATGAATATTTTCTTAAAACCATTTAAAAATAGGTCTCTTTTTTGAAGCAGTTTTATTTATAAAATTAAAAAAGGGATGTTAACATTTTAAAAATTTTGTACTGAAGAATTTTGAAATGAATATTATAGATGTGTTAAAAACACAGAAATCTTTATCTGAGTTGCAGTTTCTTGTTTTTAAAAGGTAAATAATGTCATTGTTATGGAGTTATTGGGATATTTTAATTTTATGACAGTACCTGGTGCAAACCGTGGTCATGTTAGTCTCTGTTTATTCCTTCTACTCCATATGCATGGTGAAAGTATTCAAGTAGAAGCTGGGTAACTAAAATTATTATTGGTATTTTAGAGTGGGTGTGTATCTGGAGTGAAGGACTTGGTTCTATATAATCTCTGAATTCCCTTTACATTTTTTCTTTTTCTTTCTCTTTTTTCCCTTTACACCAAATTCATTCAAGTAGTTTTCATTAAATTTTAATTGCTGTACACATACAATATTTCTAGTGAGGATTAAGTAAATACTAAAGTAAACCACATGTAATATTTTTTAAAAATATTAAGAAATCCATTCCCTATACCACCCCTATCAATTATTTGTTTTTTACATCTCTTCAATAAGAAAGGAGACATTTTGTAGTTTATTTTTATTTCCCATTTTAGGTAGTAAATGCTTACCATCTTCGTGTAAGAAGAAAAAATCCAGTGACTGGCAATTATGTGAAAATGAGCTTACAGCTTTACCTGGTTGACAACAGGAGCTATCTTTTAGACTTTAAAAGCATTGATGGTAAGTAAGTGATGCAGGTGTGACCATATGTTAAAATCATCTCAAAGACATGGTGAGTAGGTCCTACATTCATTTTTAAGTAATCTAAACTTAACCAAAAGGTGAGTGAAGTGAACAGGATGAGAGACACGTGGTATACCTCTTCTTCAGCACCTTTCCAAAAGAAGTGCTTTCTTGGCTTAATAGGCATTTGAAGTGTTGACTGTGAAGCAAAAGTAAGGAACAATAGGGAAACCCATTTATCAGATTCTTTATTTCATTTCTCTGTTCATATCTTATTAGTTAGAATTATAATGTCTAAAGTTTCCCCTTCATCGGTTTTCCTTATCCTGGGTAGCCAAGATGACCAAATAGGCCTCTACTGAGATTTAGGTACCATGGCAGTCTAGGAGCCAAAAGAGTCAGGGAAAATGGTCATGTCCCGGTACTTGGGGTGTGCCAAGAGTTAAACCTGAATAAACCCAATATGATTATTCAGTTCAGAGGCCCAATAAAAACAGAATAAACCAAGGGTCAGGTGCTGGATGAAACAAGAGTAGAACTGAGTTTAGAGTTAGGGAAATTGTTTTTAAAAAATTATTTAAACTTTATTCTTGAACTACCATCAATTATAGCAGTGTTTATATGGATCCCAGACCACCTTCATCAAAATTACATATTGTTGTTATTAAAAGATGTAGATTCTTGGAGAACCACTACAGACCTACCAAATCATAATTTCTGAAGACTGGTCCTGGGAAACTGGAATCTGCATTTAAAAAGAAAGAATGAAAGAAATTTTCCTTACATCATCCCCTACCCCAAGATAATTCCAATGTGTACCAAAGATTTAGAACCATTGTTATGATGGTAACTTTTGTTTTTAACTTAATGATTTTTTTTTTTTTTTGCTGATATGCTAGAAGAAAATGAGTTGCCAAGAATGTGCTTTCTCCACATGCAGGGATATCAGTTTGCTTTCAATACCAATGCCAAATACTCTGTTGAGAAGAACTTCAGGGCCACAAGTTTTGACTGTGTGGAAGTGTTGTGATCAATAGTGATGTTTATGATTGTGGGAGGGAAAGGCTGCTGCTGCCTCTGCTTCTTAAACACTGAAACATGACATTCATTATTAAATTGACTTTGCTCAGAATTTTACTTATTATTCTGATATCGTAAGTTCTCAGGAATGGTTTGGGTAAATAAATATACTTTCATATGAATTGCTCTTCTTTGGTCCATTTCAGATGAGGTAGTGGAGCAGAGGTCTGGTTCCTCAACACCTCAGCGTTCCTGTTCTGCTGCTGGCTTACACAGACCAAGATCGAGTTTTGATTCTGCAACTGCAGAAAGCCATTCACTTTCTGGCTCTCTCACTGGCTCTTTGACTGGAAGCACATTGTCTTCAGTTTCACCTCGTTTGGGCAGTCACACCATGGATTTTTTTGAAATGTGTGCCAGTCTGATCACTACTTTAGCCCGTTGATAATCTGTCCCTCATTTCCATCTTTCTGTTATTGCACTGTGAAAAATTAGCTGTGTTCTTTAAATTGTAATCTTTCTTTTGGGTAACACACTCTGCAATACTCACTGAGGTTCAGGAATATTTTCAGGAGACACACAATGTTATTGAAATCACTGAAAAAAAACAAAAACTTGACATCCTATTTACTTGTAGAAATCTGTAATTATACTGTGCCTGTGATAAATTTCACATGTGCAGTGTCGCTTAACAGGTGAATATCGATGAGGATTGTTAATTTCTAGTTGTGCATTCACTACAGACAATTAACACACCTCACTGATGAATCATCTTGGTGTAAGGGTGATTTGGCAACACCTCCTTCATTATTGTTTAGTGTAGTTAAATCCAGTTTACTTCCTAAATTTCAGTAGGTGTTAAGCTGGGGTTATACCCCCAATTACTTTTCATAAGAAGATTAAAAAGTAAAAGAACCATGGGTAAGATATTATTTAAATGTTTAAGTCTTAAAAGCCTGCCCCCAAAATTTTAGAAACCAGGTTCTTCTCCCTGTATTTTTGCAAATATTGCCTAGTGTTCAACAGAAGGGCTGTGGTCTTGTAACAGGTAACCACAACTTTCAGGTTCCTTAAAAACAGCTGTAACTAACTCAGGATTTTACCTTGAGATTTCCATGAATAATATATTGATCTTAAGAGCCTCTAAGGTTCAACTTAAAATTGGAACATCTGGAATTGCAAGTTTTCATCTTTTACCTAAATTTATGTCATTTAAAAATATACTTTCAAAACTTACCTTCCTCAGATTCCTTTTGACTCTATTTTTGCACTTCACCAAGAATGATAAAAGAATTAAATGAAACAAAGCAAAATGCCAACAATCCCTTCAAATGAGAACTCTATCTTTGATCTTTTATTTTGTGTGTTAGGAGGTTGGGGTTCTGTTGCATCTCATAATGCTAGTCCTTCATTTGGGCCCACTCCCTTCCCCCCACCTTTTCTCATCACTATTGTCTTTGTTCATTGTTTGATCTTCATTGGCTCATGGAGTTAGTTTTTGAATATTTTCTAGTTCCCTTTCTTGGTTACTAGCTTTTAGGTTTGAAAATACTGTTCTGGCCCTAGGGACTTTTGTACACTTCCAAAGCTTGATAGGCTATGACCTTCACTGTTGAACCTGAAGAGGCTAGGAAGCCTTAAACATTTAAAAAAATTATCTCTTGAATAAATATATGTGTTGTTTACATATACATATGTATTCACACATCAGTGCTTTTAAGCGAAAACCAAACCATTTTTAGTTTGTTTTGTGTTGTGCAGATTTTTTTCTTAAGATTAAATAAACTATATATAGCAGGGTAGATAATAGTCCATTGATTATATTTTGTTTTAGTAAAAGTATTTAATTTTTAAATTATGTGTAATTTATCTAATTGTATTTATTCATTTGTTATGTTTATGTTGTAATTAACAATTTCATTCACCTGGCTTGCCCTAGAAAATATTAAGCTCTTGAAAAAAAATGACATTACCTTGACAGGTTTCTCTTTGCCAAAAATAATGTATTTTCTACCAAGAAGCAAATAAGAATGTTAGACCAAGTTGCTCCTGTGTTTGTGGAAGACAAGCATGTTTATCTTTAAACAGTTTTTGAGTCAGGAGTTTGCATTATGCCACATCATATTGTTTTGTAGATCTTTTAAAGATAGTATTAAATAACTTATAAGTCCAACTTCTTAATATCAAAATAAAAGGAATCTCTGCTCACTAATTTGGGAGAGGGTAGGATTGCCTTTTGAGATCGTTTAAGGTTTAATCTTTGAAAGATTGCCATCTTGTGGCACTAATGGGTAATTTTAAGTGGTATATATTATAGATATATATATATTTTAAACAGGGATAGCAGTCCTGCTATGTGTCTCGTATGCATTATAAATATGGCATAGTTTGGCTTTTCCAAATTTGAACATACTTCTTTTGGGAAATACAAGGCCACCTCATAATATTCTCCTGATTATGAGTGGAATGATCTTAGAAATACAGAACTAATCAGATTCCTTATCCCCAAAGACAAATCCACAACAATTTGAAGGCAGAGAAACAGTGGTAAGGAATCCAATGATATTTTAGCCTTGTTCATCTAACAAATCAGATATTAGAGATTTGTTCATATTGAAATTACCTCATATGGATGATTATCATTTTTTTGAGAGTAAATTTATTTATAGTTTTCTTATTCTTGCCAGTATTTATGAACAGCCACAGTTTGATAATTACCTGTTGAATTTTAGGAGAACCAACAGTTATAGTTTTGGTTCTTTTATGCATACGTTTTTATAACAGCTATTCCATGAATTTAGGTGTTCTGATAAACTGGTTTGCAGTGAGAAGACTTCAAGATATTAGGTCCAGCATAGTAGGACTAGAACATTGCCATGGCAGACTTTTTGTTGCTCAAGGGCACAGAGAGGGAAAGAACAAATTGCTGATCCAAAATTCCCACATTTTAATCTTGTAAAATCTGGATTGGTGGGTAGGTATGGGCTAAGAACAGTTTCCTCTAGTTAAGATTCTGGAGAAGAGCATCTCTAGATAAGGCCTTAGTTATATCATGGAATTGGACTGCATATGGTTCTAAAATAGCATTTCCCAAAGTGTATTATGTGAAAAAAGATTCCATGGAGTAAGTGTGAAAAATGTTACCTACTACTCTCCCCTTTAAGGATGATGATGGTTAAGGGCATTAAAAACTTTGATAGGACCTTCCATGAGAAAAAGAAAGAAAACCTAACTTTGTTGAGTTCTGCTTTGCACAAATTAATTTACCATTAAAAAATTAGCATCCCATGGGGAAAAAACAAATTTGGAAAGTATATGTTTAGGAAAATTATTATCCCAGCTTGCCATAATTAGGGTAAAGAATGAAATTAAGATCATACTTCCTTTTCCCTTATCAGTTATTGGCCAGAATCTGGTTCAAAATCAGAATCATTTCATTATAACTTGCTGATATGTTCATCTTGAGTGAATGCTGGGTTAAATAGAATTTTTAATGCCAGCAACATGTTTCATAGCACCTTGGTTTTAATAATCAGATGGTGGTATTGTTTGGATGCAGCATTTATTCTTTTGTATTGTTGAGTCATTGAAAAACTTAAATAAGATTACTTGTAAAAAAGAAGACTAGTGGCTCATGCTTATGACTCTCTGGGTAATGAGTGTCACTGATTCTTACTTTCAAAATGTGTATTTGGTGAACATTTTCTAAATACTTTTGTGTAGGGTACCATTTTTAAATCTAATTCCTGTTATCTTTCAATGTAGGAACAGACACCTCCTCAAATTGAATATGTAGGGAGAGAAGAAGGCATACCACTTACAAGCTGAGTTTTTGTTTTGTTCAACAAACCTTTAAGAAACACTTTTGTTGTTGTTGTTGTTGTTGTTGTTTTTTGAGTTGGAGTCTCCCTCCTGGCCACCGCAGCCTCACCTGCTGGGCTCCGGTGATCCTTCCGCCTCAGCCTTCCGAGTAGTCGGAATTACAGGCATGTGCTACCACGTCTGGCTGATTTTTTTGATTTATTGTAG